TCGAAACTTATAAATCAAGTAGCTTTCCCTAATCTCTTCTTTACTGTTTGAAACGCATCTCCTCTCATAGGTTGTTTATCTCATTTTGGAGTCTTTTACGTATTTATTCGTCCTTACCTCTGCTGGATGTTTGTTTTCTTACTTGATAAAGACCTTTAAATATTGGCGCGGGCTTGCGCGATCAACGCTTTCCCGGATTTATTCAAAATTGGAAAGATTGGCGTCAAAACCGGTTGAAGAAGCAAACCGAAGTCCTCGCTTCCAATGAAGACGGCACAATCGTAAGATAGGTCCTTGCTTCACTTGCCTCCACAACTCCCCATCGTTTGCACTATCGCAACGTCTCAGTAACATAGCTGTATACCACATTTTACTCATGGTTACTATAAATGTGGCCCCACAGGTTTTCCGGTTATCAGCGAGTCGACGTTTTAACGACCGGCGACTCTCCTGAGTGAGAATAAATATCATCACCTTCCAGCAATATCCACCCCTTTCTCTCTCTTCACCCCCCTCCCCCCTTTCCCGAGTTGGGGAAGTACCAGGCCACTCCAGGAAGCAGCCTGCAGACTGCGCTTTTCGGCTACTCATCCTCAACACATTCGAACGTGGAAGTAAACATATCGCATGAGCGACGCCCAGTTTATTTGCAACCTAAATATTGTGGCTCTACTGTTGGGACCCAATCAATTTCATCATCAATCATTATTTGTTACGATTTCATGGTAAAAGTGTGTTTGTCGTGATGCCACAAGAGTGGTCGATTCAAATTTTGATGAAATACTCGCTCCTGTGACGCTCTTGTGCGTAAGGTCAAAGCACTGGAGGCAGTGCGTAATACTTTACAACTGTCGTTGACGATAAAATATTTGTGGGAAGTGCGTAAAATTGTTTACACCACAAAAGTGTACCTAAACACAACAAAATATCGCAATGGCAAAAAAAAGAAAAAAATCAGCTTGCGAAAGCCGCTGCTTTTATCTCTCTCTCTTTTTGCGCCACTACAAAAAATAGCGGCCGAGCAACGAAATTCTATCAAAACCTCGTTTCTTGGAGAAAGGACAGCAGGCTATAAGGTAGTTAATTTGCCAGGGAGTTTGTAGAAATAATAGGCGACCATTGAACCTAGACTTTTACACAAATCATGCCCGGGATATTTCCATTTTCTTTCCACGCGATTAGAAGGAAAGACGCTGGGAGAATTTATGTGCACTAACATGCTGCTTCTAAAAGAAAGTACCAGATTTATAGTGCATGTCAATTTAGATGTAAATAGTTTAATCACTGCGCACGAACATTCGCGGCCTGGAGGATGACATAAAAGCATGGCGGAAAGCAGCTTGCCGGAAATATAAGCCTCCATTGCATTGCACTGGTGTGAAAAATGATTACGTATGTTTGTATTATTTCCGTGCCAAAATAAAAACAGCGTTTAGAAACCGAACCCTGTGCGTTTTAAGGGGCGCCGAAAGGACATAAAAAAAACCGGGACAACCTGAACAATACGAGGCGCCTTGCGTCACTCATCTTTTCCTGGTTGCTTGTTTTTCCGGAGCCTTTCAAAAGGGGATGAAAAGTTATGAACCGATTGACCGGACTTGCCACATTAGAGCAGTATTTTCATTACGAAAGGCTCTCTTAGAGCATCTTGCATAATTCAGCTTGTACTGGTCCGTTTTTATTTTCGGTTCCTTTCAAAACGTGAGCTCTTAGCCACTGGACTAAACTACCACATCATAATCTGCGCAAGCGGAGAAGCGGAAATTCAACAAAATGAATGATTCGCCCACGTTATTTGAGACCTATAGAAAAGCGGACCGGATAGAAAGGGGCCGAAATCTCTTTCAAGAAACACACAATCTTCTCTTCAATTCTGTCTAACAATTTGATGTGAAGGTGTACTTGGCTATGGCATTATTCGTTTAGGAATCAAGCGAAACTTTGTATCGGATCATTATACGTCTACGTTCACTCCCATTTGATGCTTATCATGTTTTCAACTATGTACACGGGGTGGTTTTCAGCGGTAGGTTTTTAATCTGATTGCCCGCCAGAGCGCGATCCAGAACGCACTACGGCCGCGGGCCGTCGCGCTCTTCTCCTTCTCCGTATCAATATAGAATCAAAGACGCGGGCGGAGCCGTCAATCGTGCATGGTTTCGGGAGCCAGTAACTCTGACTCTCGAAATGCAGGCGTGACGCAAAACTCAGAGGCGTCTCGTTCGCCTGTTTACGTTCTTCCCAGGCGGCAGAGATTGTCGTTTAGAGGCTCGGGGTTTATCTTCTGAACGGATCCAAGTTACTCGAGCAAGCTCGCATTCTGCTCGCAAAGCCCAGCCACTAAAGAAAGGTAACGGACGGTGGTTCGAGAGGCGTACAACCCTTGCCCGCTTGGCCCTCCCAACCACTTCTCCACTTCCGTAAATTTTGAATGTTGTAGGTTGGTCCAGTGGCTTAGAGCTCACACTTTGAAAGGAACCGAAAATAAAAACGGACCAGTACAAGCTGAACTATGCAAGACGCTCTAAGAGAGCCTGTCGTAATGAAAATGAACTGCTCTAATGTGGCAAGTCGGGTCAATCGGTTCATAATTTTTCATCCCCTTTTGAAAGGCTCCGGAAAAACAAGCAACCAGGAAAAGCTGAGTGACGCAAGGCGCCTCGTATTGTTCAGCTTGTCCCGGTATTTTTATGTCCTTTCGGCGCTCTTCAAAACGTACAGTGTTCGGTTTCTAAACGCTGTTTTTATTTTCGCACAGAAATAAAACAAAAACACGTAATAATTTTTCACACCAGTGCAATGCAATAGAGACATATTTCCAGCAAGCTGCTTTCCGCAATGCTTCAATGTCATCCTCCAGGCCGCGCATGTTTGTGCACACTGATTAAACTATATACATGTAGATTGACATGCACTAGAAATCCGGTACTTTCTTTTAGAAGCAGCATGTTAGTGCACATAAATTCCCCCAACGTCTTGCCTTCTAATCGCGTACAAGGAAAATGGAAATATCCCGGGCATGATTCGTGCAGAAGGCTAGATTCAATGGTCGCCCATTATTTCTACAAACTCTCTGGCAGATTCACTACCATATAGCCTGCTGTCATTTCTCCAAGAAGCAATGTTTTGATAGAATTTCGTTTCCCGGCCGCTATTGTTTGTAGTGGCGCGAAAAAAAGAGAGAGAGAGGGGGGGAAGCAATAGTTTTCGCAGGCAGATTTTTTTTTTTTTGCAATTGCGATATTTTTTTTTGTGTTTAGGTATGCTTTTGTGGTGTAAACAATTTTACGCACTTCCCACAAATATTCCATCCACAACGACAGTTGTAAAGTATCACGCATTGCCTCGGGTGCGTTGACCTTACGCACTAGAGCGTCACAGAAGCGAGTATTTCCGCAAAATGAATACGAGGACCTATTTCTCCCTTTGAATCGACCACTTTTGTGGCATCACGACGAACACACTTTCACCAAGACGTCGTAACAGTAGAGCCACATTATTTAGGTTGCAAATGAAAAGGGCGTTCATGCGATGTGTTTACTTCCACGTTCGAATGTGTTGAGGATGAGTAGCCGAAAAGCGCAGTCTGAAGGCTGCTTCGTGGAGTGTCCTGATATTTTTCCAACTCGGGAAAAGGGGAAGGGGGGGGGGGAGGGAGAGAAAGGGGTGGGTGTTGTGGGAAGGTGATAATATTTATTCTCATTCAGGAGAGTCGCCGGTCGTTAAAAAGTCGACTCGCTGATAACGGGAAAACCTGTGGGGCCACATTAATAGTAACCATGAGTAAAATGTGGTATACAGCTATGCTACTGAGACGTTGCGATAGTGCAAACGATGGGGAGTTGTGGAGGCCCCCCCCCCCCCCCCCCCCCCCCAGTGAAGCAAAGACCTATCTTACGATTGTGCCGTCTTCATTAGAAGCAATAATTTCGGTTTGCTTCTTCAACCCCTCCTGACGCCAATCTTGCCAATTTTGGATAAATCCTGGACAGCGTTGATCGCGCAAGCCCGCGCCAATATTTAAAGGTTTTTATCAAGAAAGAAAACAGACATCAAGCAGAGGTAAGGACGAATAAATACGCAAGAGTTCAAAATGGGACGAACAACCTATGAGAGGAGATGTGTTTCAAACAGCAATGAAGAAATTGGGGAAAGCCACTTGATTTATAAGTTTCGAAAATAAATATATTATCAACGACCTGAACCCTTTATTGCGCAAGCCAATCCTTGTGCAGACACGGGAATGGTTTCAGCAGCCGCGCGATGCCAGAAAGCGGCTACTGGAACGAACCCCGCATACCACGACCCCTCGATCTCCACCGACCGAGCGGCCTCGGACCTGCAGCTCATGGGAGAAAGCGTTCGGTCGTGCTGGCTTCCTCAATCTCGCGGATTGAGCGTGCCCGTGCCCCGCGTCAAGGAGGGAAGACACCTGGACGTCTCAAGGTCGTTGTGGCGCTCGCAGCTAGCCGCTCATTTCGCGGTTTTTGAGGATTATCCCTACAGAAAAAGCCGACACAAAAGAAGCCCCTGCCGTCACGTGATTTTTGGGAGAGGGTGAAAAGAGGAGGGCGCGAGGGGCATTTTCCTACCCTGCGGAAAATGGTTTCGTTGGTCGGTCTTTAAGCGAACGAAGCTTGCGCAACCAGCGCTTACAGGGTAACGCGACCGGAGCTTCCGCTTCACTACAGCCGCGGTGTTACGTGCCTTGATAACGCGTCCTTTAGCGTGGTTTGGGCTCTCTCTCTCTTTCTCTTTTCCTCCCCCCCTTCCTTGGACTTGAGCACTTCTAAATTTTGGAGGGCTATGAGCTCAATCGCTGGTGATGTGAGAACTATCGAGGGGCACTAGTCATGATCCCAGGCACTGTACTCTTGAAACCATAACAGAGTTGCTGTATACAATAACTTTCTTAATGAATAGGCTACAAGTATTTTTCTAACATAAAGATTTGTTGCAGTGGAGGGGCGTGCTTTTTTGTCGTCATGTTCCCCCACTTCGAGGACAGTCTGGCGGTTGTCCCGAGGTGCTGGATGCTCGAGGGAAAGCTAGCCTGTTGTTGGCCAAAAGGCCGGCATCATAATTTTAAAAGACTCGTACGCAAAGGAGTGGAGCCGGATGAAAACTGGTACATCCATGGAGTTGTGGTGCTAAAGGAGTGCTGTAAGTAATTTTTTAATTTTTTTCTTTTGAAGTACATTGGCGTATGCTGCCTCTAGACACTTCTGAATATGTGAATGCAGTGATCCCCTGTTACTATGAGCAGCTTCATGTTTGCGAGAAGTCTTCATGATAGAGTGAGCGAGGGTTGTCAACATGAGTCAAGCGTGCAAGCATCTTATTCCAAATATGAATTGGGGAAGGGTGACCAAGTTACCCGACATATACATTGAATGCCGTAAAAGAGAAGAACTATGTGGTTGGTTTTATTGGGCACAAAAAGTAAAGACTCAATTAAGTATTGTCCAAGGTTGTTATGTTGTGCAGACAGCCGACTTGCATGTGTTGCTCTTTATGTAATTTCACCAAGTATGTATGTTTATATACATAAATGTCTATACATACATACAAGTATGTATGTATATCCATTGGCAATTAGAAGGCATCACATACATATGGGTATGGCCCTGCAGACTTATGTAATGACCTAACTCGCAGAGTTAAATAAAATATACTAATACCAAGTAACTGGACTTAACCATGTATATGAACAATATAATTACAAGGAAAATTGCTTTTTAACAAAGCCAAATATCTTGTGCATTTGCACTTCCATGCATTAATATTTTGCAATTAGGTTAAAACTAGGGATGCCGCGAACTTTTTTCGAATCGAAGTTTCGATGATCGAATCAAGCGGTTCGAAAGGTTCGAGAGATTTCGATTTTTCGATTTGGCTACATCGTAAAATTCGACGGAAGTCGAATTTTCGAACTTGTTAAGCTAAGAAGTTCGACGCTTTTCGAACCGACGAACTTATTACGCTAAAAAATTCGATCTTTTTCGAACTTTCGAACTTGACTGACCAAACAATTCGAAGAATTTCGAACTTTCGAACCTATTTATCAAGAGAATTCGAAAAGTTTCGAACTTTCGATCTTGAAAAGTCACAAGTTCGACGAACTTCGAACTTTTAGGGTAAAAGTTCGACGTTCGTCGAACTTCGAAAGATTGGCGGACGGTTTCATTTGAATTCAAGTAGTGAGGTACATTTGTAATTTTTTTTTCTCGAACTTTTACACGCGGTGCTGCGTTCCTTACGAAAGACAAAGCCGTTTGTTTCAATGTTCCGGCATGCTTAGTTTTAAAGAAATAAATTCCCGAAGGCGCGAGGAAGGACGACGGGTTTTTGACGATTATTTTTGTGCCAGATTTGAAGCGCGCTGTGGCCGAAGCTATTTATGGTAGAGATGTTATACTTTTCTTAAGAATGATCTACGCATAGCCTAGGTACGTGAGTTTCGAAGAAATGTCCAAACATGTATCTACATGCAATTATGCCCTAAACTTGATATTTATTTTCGTCTAAGTTGTTTGAGGTATCGAATTTAAATTAATACCACAGACAGCACATATCATTGCCATCTGCAGAATACAAAATAATGTATTTATTGTTTTTTCACGTTAAGGAATAAATTAACCCATGGGAGAAGATTTCTAATAGTGTTCAAGTTCAGCACGTCATTAAAAGAAAACATTTTTTTTTCGCTTCACGTTCCTGGGACGTGTTTCTTTTAGCCTGTACACATTTTGGTAAAAGAAACTTGTTTCGAAGTTCTGAACCTCTGAATAGGCAAGAATACAACACTCCCGGCGAAGTCTTGATAGTTTTTTTTCTCTCCAGCTTTTTATCCCCGCATTTATTCTTTTTTTTTTTATTATATTGGCACAGGTATTTAGGTCGAAAAGACATAGCTTTGAACTTCGAACCACTAAGCATGTGACGAGTAGTGCCTTCTGACAACGAGTTCCTAACAGTGACCATCTACGCGATCTTTTATGCAGTGAAGAGCGACAGTAGTTATACATATGCATAAATAGTTTGAGATTAAAATAAGCTCGACCACGCCCTCTTTCCCCGTATTGTTTTCTTTAACAGTCCGAACTATCTGGAAGGGGGGGGGGGGGCTGGAGCCCCACTTCCTCCCCCATGCTTTTCCTCTTCCGACGCCACTGGTATGGTAGAACGTTCCTCGACCTCGAGTTGTGTAGGCTTCTGTGCTTATTGCTCGGCGTTTCCTCCGTCCCGGAAAATAAAACTCCAGAACGATTAGAAACTTAACTTACTATATGCTAGCGTCACTCGGGCGGCGTTTGATCGGATTACTACCAGCGTGTAAGGGGTGGCGAGGTAGTTTGCCATGTCGCTTCAAGGTTTTTCTGAGCCTCAACCTCCTGCTCGCCCCTGGCCGTTTCGAACTGGATGAGTCTCGTAAAACACTGTGTTTGCGTGTGATCACTACTGCGTGATGCAAATTAAAGAACCCCCCCCCCCCCTCCCGGGCTGGCGGTCACAATTACTGATCTATGGTCACACGTCACTCTGCACTGGCAAATATTCCAGCACATCCGGGACACCCGTCGTCTCATTTAATTGCCTGACCAACTTCGCAGAATCTAGATATCGCACCCTAACTTTTCTAAACTTGATTTTGTGAAAACCAGTGAGTCGTGAAAACGTTATTTGAAACAAACTGTGGAGGAACTTGAAAACCGGACTTCGAACTTTGAAAACTTGGACTAGAAAGGAGTTCAAAATCTTCGAAGGATTGTTTTTCAAATTTAGCGTTAAAAGAAAATCGAAACCTTCGAACTTTTCGAACTTTATGCAGAAATAAATTCGAAATCTTCGAATTGTTCGAATTTCATGTCTATAAAAATGCGAAGCGTTCGAAGTTTTCGAATTTAATTTGCAAAGAATTTCCAAATCTTCGAATTTATCGAACCTGCAGTAAAATATATTCGAAATATTCGAATCCGAAATTTTAGAAACCGTGAAAGCTTCGACCTTCTCGAATTCGAAACTCCACTGTGATTGAAAGTGGCGAATTTTTCGAATTCGAACCTCGGTCGGTACGAAAATATCGAATTTTTTTAAAATCGAACCTTGGTTCGCTTCGCAAATATCGAAACCTTTCGAAATCGAACCTGGGGTGGTTCGCGACATCCCTAGTTAAAACCAACTAAAATAAATCGGAAGCATAATGCGATTGTGCGAACCTGCCGCACATGTGTCGCTCACCTTTCGGCTGCAATAAACCAAACCTGACTCAGCTCGACTCGTTCATCGGTATCCGAATCTGCATTTTAAACAGTTCGGGATGTTTAGATTTTCACAGGAGTGCTGCCATGCCTTTCAATATTAAAATGTATTGTCACTGACAGGACAAACAAAAGGGAGGTCCTTCAGTACGTGGTCCCAGATCCAGTGACAGTCGCCTCCCTTCGATAATTCTTTCGCATCTTGTGAGCTTTCAGCGTTTGCGTGCAGCCAAAGCGCAATGGAAGGCGATAAACACATGCCGGAGCTTGTTTTGTGATTTACTATCAAACATATTACTGAACTTGGGCAAAAGTTCCAGCTGGCTATATGAAGACATACCAGTATCATCTCGCATGGAGTATATGTGGCGAAGATTTTCAACTTGTAGGTACAATGCTAGGTCTGAGCTGTTGCTGCTTTTAGCATGTCTCTAAGTTACATTTCAAAATTTTACAAGTTGGGTACCTGGATCAGTTTTTTTTTAGTTATATGCTAACTCCTTATCCATTTTTTTATTTTTCGCAATTCTTAAGCTATTCTTTTTTTATTTATTGTATGTGGTGGAGAAAGGTGCGGTACAAGCCACACGTGTCTCCACCACAAATCGCTATGTTTAAAAATGTGTAAAAAAAAATGTGTTGCCATATTTTGGCAGCGCTGCAAACTAAGCTCTCGACATGCCTGGGTTGTCCAAAACAGCCAAGGGGCGAGCGAGAGTTTGCGGTAAAGCTATATTCATCCTATACGGTTCGGAGACAGCTCTAGGTGGACAAGCTAAGCTTGTCCTAAATGATTAAGGGGTTAAATACCTGATGTTGGTAAAACTTTTTAATCTGTCCTTTTGTTGGGCATGCTGACCTTCATTGATTTTGGACGCAAACCGCCAAGAATTTCTGATCCAATTTGTTTTTCATCAAATGTCTGACAATAATCTTATATAAGCCAAGTATTGCTTTATTTTGAAGGTAAAAGTCATCATGAAGGGCTATATGGAAAAAAAAGACTGGTGTAAATATTTTCTTTTTTCTTGAAAGCAACATATGACAAGGCCCTGAGGGTACTGAAAAGGGCAGAAGAAGACGAGGCACTGGACACCACGGATGGTGGAGTGGAGCGTGGATCACCAGGTAATATGGCTCACATTGGTAATAACAATTAAAATGGCAAGAGCACTAGAGTGGTGAACCCCAGTCATGTCACCTAATTTCCAATGTCAATTTTCGTAGGTGACCGTCACTTCCACAGGCGGCCACTTTCCACCCAACAGGCGACGTCGCTGCCTGCACCACGTAAATAATTTTACAAATTGCTTGAATAATTAAATACATAAATGATTTTACAAATGCTAGCACTGCCAGTGTGTGCCAACAAAAAATTATGTGAACCGTCTGTGCACTTAGCCATCTTCACTCAAGAATGCTAAGAAAATGAAAAAAGAAGCATTTTGTTTGTTCAAAGAATGGACAGTGTACTGTATAATAACTGCTTTAAACATCTAATACATGCATGATAAACACTTTCATGTGTTAAGCTTCTTACACTCAAAAAATCTTAATTTTTAATAAAAAAAAACATATTACTGAGCAGACAACATATGGTACGCAGCAAACACTGTTGTGTTTTGCTGCACTGAAGGTTTCTAAAAAAATGTGCAAGACGACTGTTCACATGAATAGCTACAATTAATCAGCACACTTTTTTCTTGAGGTATTATTGTTCTACAAACTAGTTATGAAAGATAAATCATTTAAATTTTCCGTCGAAGCCCACTTTCTTTAGACGATGAAGCAGGACAGATCTCCAGGCTTCGGTGCTCCCTTTCTCATGTCATGAAAGGGCATGCACTGATTTACGAAATGATTCATTAGTGCAGCACATTATTTTCTTTGTTCCACAGCATAATGTGTTCCTTGTATCATGAATACTCATCTGAGGGTTACTGAACAAGATGGCTAAAATCCCTAGGGTGTCTTATTATTTCGGTGTTCTTGTTACCAATCACTCAAAGTCCCGCTCATGCTTGTCATTCTTAGATTAATCATCATATTTGGGTATTACGTCGGGGAACATTAACAGGTCCCTCGGGGCCTTACAATCTGTTCACGTCCAGGGCCTGCATAACTTTAACAAAACATAGACTTGGTAGAAGAGGAAGAAGAGGTCGAAGCTCTCACTGTTCCATTCCATTTAGTCACCCCCTGAAGAAGGAGTCAAGTAGACCTCGAAACTGTGGCAACTGTTAGTTTCTGAGCTTTTGGTTTGAGATTTTTTTTTATTATTTTTTTAAACCAGACAGATTTCTGTCAAAGATGTTTACTTTCACTCCTTTTGTGATGTTACGCCCTGGCAAGGAGGGCCTTCAGTGGCCTGCGTGCCCCAAATAAAAAAAAATAATTTAGATATTCGAGATCTTGGAGGTCAAATGAAAATTATATAAGTGGGTTTTCTCAAATACAAAACCGCCTCAGCTTCCCTTTAATGTATTTACCAGGTGTTACCACGTGTGTTGTCTTGCCATACATGCAGCCGATATACGCTTCCATCATTCGGATCTTAGTGCAATATTTGGTGGCACTTTAAGGCTTAAGTGGCCGAATTGACATGCTTTGCAAAAACTAACCTTTTTTTAGAGGTACCTGACTCGTCTAACATCTTTTGGAACTTCCAGTAACCAGTCCCAAAGTCTAGAACCCTATAGCCTTCATGTTTTCTGAATTATAGGGCATAGTTCGATGTTGCAATCATTGCCCTCGCGCAATGATTTTGCTGAGAGTAAAACAAAGGTGTCAACCCTATGTATCAACAAGGGTGGTGCAGAAACTATTACCACAGTGTTGCCTTAAAAACTTCTGTTGGTGGCACAGTCTTATCAGTGTTTCCTTGGAGGTCGCCGTCTCCAGTCGTTGCTGTGCAGGTTTGAATGTGTTAAATTAATTTGTGACTGAGATGCGAGAAACAATGGCTGCTTCACTTATGATTTGCATGAGTGGGATAGGTCCATTGTTTTTGTGGTCTGTGGGTGTGCTTAGTGTCAAGTATTTTGTCACAAAGAAGGGTGTTTGAAATGATTCAGAAGTTCAAGGACAACCATGCAAGTGTCAGCTATAATGAAGCAGCCAGACACCTGTCCGTGTCCATGACTAATGACGACGTTAAGGCTCGCGCTGCGGAAACCAGGATCCTGGGTTCAATCCACACTGCTGCCCGTTTCGATCTGGATGAGCATCGTACCGGCGTGCGGTCGTGTATCACTACTGCGTGGTGCACGTTAAAGACCCCAGGCTAGCGGGTCTACTGCACTGGCTAAATGTCTTATCTACAGCTGGGAGGTTCGTCGCACATTGAGGCAGACTAAGTTCTAGACTGTATAAACATACACACAACCCAATTTTCGATGACATTAAGCATATGCGTAAACTGATTTTGTTGAATAGATGATAGTGGATGATGACAAATAATTTGGAAATCAGTCAAAGCTTCAGCTATTTAATACTACATGACAGGCTTGGGTCTGGAGAATTGTTTGACTAAAGGTAAGTTCTACATTTAGGGTGCTGTAGAGTTTATTTTTAAATCACTATCATAACTTACCTCAGGAATTAACCTATTTACGAGTGATAAATTTAAATTCGAGAACACTTTAGGCTGCCAGGGAAAATGCTAGCATGATTAAAGAACTGCTGAAAATCCCACTGCCCACAAAGCGGCAACTTCTTTCTCTAGTCAACTGAGTGAAACGTTCAGAAAACCGGGAAATTGGCAGCACTGCACATGGGCTGATATACCTTAATGTATATGTATGATTAGCTTTCCCCCATTTGTTTGGTGCACTTCTTGAGTGAGTTGACATTAACGATAACCTACCAAGTTGCAATTTTGTGGTGCATACTATCCTTTATCATCTACAGCTTACAAACAAATTTTTGATATTCCCAATGAAAATAAAAAGATGCGAGCGAGGGACTATTGTCGTTAAAATTTCTGTCATTTGTACGAGTTCAATTTTAAACCACTACTTTCAGCTCCTGGTCTTGCCTGTGGAGTATTTGGCCCAAGAGGTAAGATATTTGCTAGTTTAAACAGTATGAATTACTATGCGAAGCCTTCAATTGTGATTATTTTGTTACGGTATATTTACAATCCCAATGGCCTGTAGATGGCAGGGTGGTAGTTCTAAGACAACGGGAGAGATGGGGTTAGATATTGCAGGATTTTCCATGCACCTGCTCGCTGATGCAGGTCAGCATGCTTAAAGTAATTTATTCGGCTACAAACGCAAAGCGGTCAGAGCAGGAGCATATCGCAGGTGACGGAGCTGTTGATATATAGTAGGAAAACAAGCAGGTTAATTTTTAAAAGTTGCAGAGACCTCACAGAACTTTTGAAGCTTTGTGGAGGACGAGTGCATTTAAAAAGACTGACCCTGTCGTTGTGTGTGGCAAGAAAATGTGAGGGTGATCAAGATATCGTTGTGTTTGCATCGTGCCTGGCCACCAGTATTCTAAAGGTGAGCACCGCATAGTGACTGTTAAGCTGTGGACAAGCCGCGTTCACAGTTAGTACTTATGTCTTTCTGTCAGAGGCTCACAACTCAGTGCATATTAGTTTTAATGCATGGGAATATTTGATCAACCTCCACCATAGTTACTAATGGTCTGTGTTGGCATTGTCCTGTCTTTTGCAACATTGCAGTTTGTGAGGTTTCTGCTAGCTGATTATGGCTTAATAGGAGTTTAGGATTGCATTCAAATTTACAAGTAACTAAACTCTGAAAACATTATGGCACAAAAGCATAAATTTTCTACCCACATCTTATCAGAAGTTATAAGAAAATATTGTTGCCAATCAGATGTATTTATGTTTTGTTTCATTAGTGAACATTAGAGCATTCAATAATTAAACTAAAGCAATTGGTCACTGCTACGACATTCCAACCAACACGAGGCTGGCAAAATTTTCCTAGAAGTTATGTGAGAAAGCACCAAATAAAGAGGAGTCGCATGCACTCAGGCCTTCAACGCCACTTGTGTAGTGGAAATGTCAGTGAAATCACAAACTTGGACGATACCAAATTGTGGTAGTCCTTGTTCTTTTGGGAGTAAACTGCAAAAAAGGCCACTGTTGTGCATTAACAAATGTTCTGTCAGAGAAAACCATAAGAATGAGCAGCTGTGTCATGTTCATATTAATTTTATTGCTCAGTGTACATTCCTTATTGTGTATATTTTAGCAGGTAACAATGTATATTTTCCTGCAATTCAGCTTCATCGCCAGTTGCCACTGACGCCGCAAGGTCAAGCTTCGTTTTTGACCACCAGCTGCCTGCAACGACTTCTATGATCACAGGTTGTTTAGCTGATTCTGAAGTTCCAAATTGATTGCTAATACTGAACTCATACAAGCAAGCAAATAATGCAAAGTTCTTTTGATAAAGGAGTAGGCTAGGTGTTATTGTGATAGATATATACAAAGTGTTTTTTATTAGGAGCAGGATTTAAAAAAAAAGAAAGAACTTGCAGGTTTTCTTTAGTCCTGGGGGCAAGTTGGTGCCTATAGACCTTTCCAGCGGCAGTCTCGAACGAAGCGATTTCCAGCGCGCGTCCCTGGTTTTGAGATTGTACATCAGTGTTGCCCGACTGCGCTGAGCTGTGGGTTTTCTCGTCAATAAGCTGTGGAAGCCTGCGTAGGAGCAATTTTGAACGCTGGTGGCAGAAAAATCGCCTCGATTTTTTTTTGTGTTCTATGGCGAAGAGAATTTCTCGAAGTTTTTAAGAGAGCATTGAACTATTTTTGGGAACAGAAACAAACAAATGAAAGCTATTTTCGGTGAGTCCGTGCGCGATAGAACAAATGCTACTGGAATGTTTGTTTCATTTTATGCGTATATTTTTACGGCACCATACACTCAGCCGTGTCAAACTACAAAGATCTTAACTGCCTAACATATTTGACCACTCCAGAGGATAACCGAACTGCATGGATATTGCCCGCTCACTATATGAAATTCAACGAATCTCATCAATCGAACAACATATATTGTACGTACCCCACGGTGCCGAGTTATCCGAACAGGATTTGAGAAAGGTCTCAACTAACACAGCATATCCAATATACAGTGTCGACTACAGTCACTTCACGACAATCGGACGGAATCCGGCTTGTCTTGGGGTACGTTTTGAAGAGTGATGTTTTTTTACACAGCACTAAAGCAAATGAACGAACGTGTCTATTCCTTCCACACACCTAGGTCCCGACCCTATCAGCTATTTTTCGCGAAGACCCGGAACATAGCCGGAAAGGCTTTTCGGAGATTATCTCAACAGAAATAGTCCTCGAAGAACGTCGAACGGCCCGCGTCGCGGGCTGCTTGACGTTCGCTCTCTTCGTTCGTTTCCTGCGAAGGTCGAGCAGGCTACGAGCTCTGGTATTCCCTGGTTCTCACAGTGGAAGATTACAAAAACACGCAAGCATCCTGAACAGGCAAATAGAGTAAACACTTTCAAGGAAAGCCGGCGAACTTCAAACACGCAATGCAGGTGGGGAGTCGCGCTGACCGGGTTTCCACAGCTCAGGCGGGTGGCAGAAATTTTTGGCTGATAGGGGTCGCTTGAGTCGCAAAATGGCGGCGGCCAGCGAGTTGTTTTTGCAAAGGTCTATAGCAGCAACTAGAAAAGAGGCTCAATTGATTCTCAATTGATTCATTAGTTACCTAACTAGCTAAGATTTAATTTTCTATCTAAATCTTAACCAACTTTTTGGGACAAAATGTAATTGGAGAATCTATGCTCGACCTCATTATGTAGCTGTGACATGAAATTTTGATTAAATAATTAGTGGGTGCTACGCGGCAAGAAATGTCATCTTAGTACATGGATTCAAACAAAAACTGAGCCAGCAGAACATGCCCATGACGTCGATCCCTGTGCTTTGTGCCATCATCACACTGCCTTTCGTCACCTGCGGCATGAACTTTTGGGTTGTGGAGCCAGTACAGAGCGAAGAAATCACCATCACCATTGCTCTTTGCCTGCTCAGTTTCAGTTACGAGGTATGTACAAGGATTGACATTTCACATCATGGTTGGTTAAGACCAGAGTTACGCAAACTTTGTAGACCCGCGACCTCTAAAATAACGCCGTCCGATTACCTACCCTACCCTACCCCCCCCCCCCCCCCCCCCCCGTCCCCTTCCCCGCTTTAGAGCAGTATCAAAGCAATCAACGGCTCAGCTTTCTGAGGCCTTCCCCCCCCCCCCCCCCCCCCAGACGTCACCTCACAACCCCGGCTTTTTGTACCGCTGGGTTAAACTAGAATGAAGTTGAGTGTCAATGTCCAACTTCGTTATGACGGAAGATATTATTTAAACTTCAATAAGTTTGCAGAAACCTTTTAGTCAGCTAGCTAATTATTCCGTTTCATCTCTTTTCTAGTTGTCCCCATAGCTCCAGCCAAGCCCTGTAAACGTTGCAGCCCACCAGCAGGAAATTTCTAAACATCTAGTTTATCAAAGTAATAAAAAAATATCTTTGCTAATCAGAAGTATTCATGTTTTGTTTCATCAGTGAACATTAGAGCATTTAATAATTAAACTAAAGCAATCAGTCACTGCTACGTGATTCCCACCAACACGAGGCTGGCAAGAATTTTGAAGAAGTGCTGTAAGATAGTATGGAATAAAGAGAAGTCAAATGCACTCAGGCCTTAACACAACTTGTGTGGTGGGAATGTTATTGGAAGCACCAATTTGGACGATAACAGATTGGGTTTGTCCTTGTTATTTGAGGAGCAAACTGAAAAAAGTGCCACTGTCATGCATCAGCAAATGTTCTGTTAGGGCAGGGGTTCTCAAACTGGGTTCTGGGGAACACTAGTTTCACGAGCTGGTCTCATGGGTTCAGCGAACACCCAAATTGCCATCCCCCCCTCCCCCCAATCCCCCCTCCCCCGCTGCAGGCTGCACGGCAGGACCATGCAAAGCGCCTTCATCTCACTTTGTACTGACATCGCAATTGATATGGTGGGGATATATGGGAAGCAACACAAGCAGAATTGCCTACAATTGTGCATCTGTTGCTTCTCGGTCGGCAAATATAGAGGAGGGGGGGGGGGGAGCAGTGTTCCGTGGCAGTTTTTGAGGCTTCCTGGGGTTTCGTGAGACCAAAAAGTTTGAGAACCCCTGTGTGAGGGAAACGTTTCAAAAGAGGCCCAATTTGTTTTATTTGCACACCAGTTGCAAACTATAAACTAACGCGGAAAGCACCCACTTCGTTCAAGCACCCATTATTAACACTTTCCAAACTTGGAAATTCTGCAATTTGTACGTTCAGCGACCGATTTGACCATTGACAAGCGCCATTGTCTAGATTAACCCAGTTTTCAGTGAAAGTGAGGTGGGCACTCCACTGGTATTTTATGGTAGCTGTGTTTGGAGATTTGTGTTTGTCCTCCTTGTTCTTCTTCTCCGGGGATTATTAGTGTTATTTTTGTCCACCTGGCTTGCTCCTTTACATTAATTGCATTATCACCTTTGTCATGTTCATATTAACTGTATTGCTCATTGTACATTCCTTATCCTGTATAATATACCAGGTAACAATATATATTTGTCTGCATTTCAGCTTTATCGCCACCTACCAATGATGCGGGAAGGCCGGCAAGCTGCGCTTAAGACTGCCAACCACCCCCCCCCCCCCCCAGCAACAGTTCCTGCACTCACAGGTTGTTTAGCCAATTCTGAACTTCCAAATTAGTTCCTAATGCTGCAATCATACAAGCAGGCCAATAATGCTTATTTATTATGTTAAAGAAGTCCAGGTGTTTTGGTGTCATGACATTTACAGGATCGGTTCTATCGCAGAACCAGAATTGTTTTTAAACAAGAAATCTGATGTGGTATTCATTTTCACCCAAGAGCAATAGTAAGAAATGTTGGGCTTCTTATATTATGTAGTGGTGTCATGAAGTTTCTGTTGCCCTTTCCCTCCTGCCAAGTAAAGTCCTCTGCAACCCATGGATGTGCTTATTAATGTCGTGGATGGCCTTTTCCACAAGACAATTGTTGCACTTCTACGAAGTTTTTCAGAATGCATATACTTTGTATCTGAGCCGTAGATGCCTAGTTCAATTATGGCTTTGGTTGTATGTAACCTGAACTATCCAGTTCCTGTCTTATTTACTCCGACGCTCGAGAAGTACAATGCAGTGTTATTCCTTCCTTGTACATTTTTAAATATTTCTCTTTTTTGTATCAGGCTTTGAGTCACAGGTACTAAAGCTGCTCTTGGAGCAGCGCCAGCAGCTCCGTGAGCTGTCGCAACAGAACACAGCCCTCAAGGAAAGCCAGGAGGATCTGTGCCTGCGGCTGGCCCAGCTGGAGGGCCAACTTCCGAGGAGGACTTAGCCAGCTGGAGAGGCAATTCAGCTGCCTCTGTTCTCCCTGGAGGATTTCCAGGCCGCGGAGGAGGTCCTCCAAGATGGCGCCTCAAGAAAAGCTTTGGTATGGATGGTGCATGGGATCTGTTGTATCGTGCAGTAAGACATGAAATTTTAACTTGCTCCGTGATGCTTGTTGTGTGCACCAGCGTGAACATTCCTATTCAATGTATTCTTTTAGTGGAGGTATGTATGCTTTATAGTGTATGCCTGTGCATTCCTAAACCACACAAAACATGAAAAATGTTGATTGTGGTATAAAACTCCTCTACTTCCGCCCTTTTCCAGGTTAAGGGAGTCTGTCAAATCATGGCAAATGATCTGGCAAAAGGGGACTAACAACCATGTTTGCCCTATTTCCACAACGTATTTCTGAGAAGAGCAAATAGTTTCTGCGCACTGCATAATGAACTACATTCTAGAGTTTCCAGACTATCCAGCATAATGCTGGCAGTTGGAATAAGATGCAATTAGCTTGGAAGATTGTATGTTAGCAGTTTCAAGAGTATAACACATTATAAAATGTCAAAGTGAGAAGGTGGAGGCCGCTGGAGTTCATGGGTGCATGGAGATGCACCCATGAACTCCAGCGGCGAGGCCGTTGTCTGCGCTCGCGCGACGAGGCACGCACAACTGCACGCCTGTCGTAGTTTTCCTCACGTGCATGCGAACATGATTGCATGACAGAGGCACCAGCTGAGACACTTGCAATCCATTGTTTTACGTTTGCTTACTTTTGACGAAAATCTGTCTCGTCGGGAACCAGTAAAACGCAGGCAAACGGTTTTTCGGAATTGCTCGGCATTGCCTACAGCACTGTACACTTGTGGGATGTCTCAGCAGTAAGAACACAAGCAGCGAGTTCCGTCTCAAAACGTCACATCACAACACAACATAACACAAAATGGCCTTCGTTTCTACAGCACCTAAAACAAATAATGTTATTTTTCTAAGAATATCTTCTCCAAAAGCCACTTTTGCTGCTCCGAAACACTATCTTCGCTGTTCCAGAAGCCACTTTTGGTGCTCCAAAACACTGTTTGGGTTTCTCCAAAGGCCACATTTGTTGCTCTAAAACACTGTTTTGGCTGCTCCAAAAGGTGCTCCAAAATGGCTTAGGCCAATCACATCACTGGCTCACATATAATGTGAGTGTTCATAAAACACCTTTAGTGTACTAGCTCAGGATAATTAACGTGCTCAAATTCAGTGTGAAAAACAAAACATAATCTATCTGTATACCGTAATCACTCAAATGTAACGCAACCATGATTGTAACGCAAAGGATGACTTCACAGCGCAAAAAAATAAAAGAACACAAATGTAACGCGAGTAATGTGAGGGGAAAAAAGTGATTTATTTGTTGCACATAGTGGCCAACACCTGCCAGTTTTTAAAAATAAAATGAGTTTGCTCACTCATCCCGTTTGCCATTGGTAATCAAGTGTTCCCCCTGAGACAATGAGGTCCGCGGAAGCCTTTTTGGCTGGGCTCACACTTGAAGAGCGCTTCATGCTGGAGCCTGCACCCACAAATAGTCGATTTTGTCACATCTAGCCGCCGAGCCGCGGCAGAGTTTCCGATTTCCTCAGCCATCAAAATTTCACTTGTTTTAAAGTGAATGTCGTACTGAGCTCGTCGCGTTGCCATTTCCTCGGGTCCAGTTGCGGAAGCACGAAGCAGCAGCCCGCGAAACACAGGCACATGGGTAAGGTAACCCTAACATGGGCGCAACGAGTCGCAAACAAGAATAGACTTGGATTGGCGGTTGCCAGCGTGTATATGTTGCCAGCACAAGAGTGAAAGATTGCGAGATTTTTCGTAGCTATCTTAAAGAGCCTGTGCTGCGACACCGCCAAGGCGAATTTTGAAGCATTTCGATTATAACGCGAACCCCCAAATTAGGTGAGGGAAATTTTGAAAAAAAAAACTTGCGTTACATTCGAGTGAATACGGTATTTGTCTAGGACTCTGTTAGCAAGATTTTACATTACGCTACTGCTATACTGTGCACGTGAAGCTCCCTAAACTGATATAGAAAATATAGCACTCATGACTAATTTTGTGTTTTGTTCGTATTGCAGAGAGCTCGGTTTGTTCTAATGGGTGGAACAAGTGTGAAGGATGCGGTTCGCTGCATCATGGAGCGAACCCTGAAAAAAGAAGTTCAGGCGCATTTTACTTTCGTGGGGCGGCAGGGGAAGCAGCCATTTAAAGGAACGAAGCTGTTTTCCGTCATCAAGGGTATGACTTTTATCATTTACAGCTTTATTTATTGAACATGGATATCTAGTAATTTTTTAAATACCCAATGAACTTGATGTTTCGACACAAAGCAAACATTTAGAAGAAGCTTCTACTTGAAAACATGCAGAGTGTGCCCCATTTTTTAATCTAAAAAAATGCTTTTATTTCGCACCATACTTTGGTCTCGGGGATGTATTTGGATGATGATGATGGTTTGGGGTTTTATGGCGCAAGAGCAACTTAGGCCATATTGTGCCAAGGATGTATTTGGATCTGTAATTGCTTAATCTTTAGCTTCAGCTTGAGTACTCAAGGTCCGTAGGCATAGAGTTGGATATTTTGTTTATTTCTTTGCTGATCTAGTATTTTTTTATTTACAAACAACACTGATCCTATCTGCGGGGTCGTGGCAAGGCGAAGTATTACAAGTCAAAGCATCAAAATATGAGTTACCCATTTAGAGCACAAAATGGAAACAAATGCACTTACAGAATAGTGGTTAATACTGTCATAAGAAATTCCATTGAATTTTATAATTGTTTGAGGAAAAACTAAGAACTAAGGTCTGCAGAAGTTATTGTAAAAATTATGTATCTAATTCTGTTGCTCACAGTGCTTTGTGTATTTCTTTCTTGAGTGTGTTTCCGCTGTGTCTGATAATATAACCATAAAGTATGCTGGTAATGTTACGTTGTACACCATGTTCTGCGTAACTATTTTATGTTCACTTATGTTGCTCACCCCTATTACGGTCCCCATTGTAAGGAATAATAGTATTGTCAATTAAAATAAATAATAAGAATTAAAAAAAAATCAATTAGTAGAGTAAAATGGTAAGTTATCTTAATTGCTTGGCATAACAAATAAAAAAAGTTACAGTATCAACAGTGTTACTTTTTATACTTCTTATTAATGGATCGAAATTGGTAAAAGAACAAGGAGTGGGTTGGTAAAGGTAGGAAAGCATGTCTCTCTATGGGCTTTGTGGGGATTCCTGTGGTCTCCTTTCCTTGATGGCTGTGATACTGGCCGCAGGTTGGAACGCTCGGCCTCTTTCGCAGTGAGCCCTGGCCTGCTCGTGAAGCGGAAGGTCCTTGGTCTTGGTGGACGCTCCTCTCACTCTCCCGGGTGGACCTCTTCCTGGCCCCACGCTCGAGTGCGGCTCACGAAAGACAAGCGAGGTTTCGCCTTCTTTTTTCCGCTTTCGGAAACGGGGACTTGCCCAGTGATCGCAAAAGAAATAGGACATGTCTCAGCTCCTTCTTTGATGCTTCTTAGATCTTGGTTCTCTAGAACCCCGCGTATGGCAGGTAAGGACCTTTTCTTATTTTGCCGGCGTGGGAGGCATTCCGGGTGGGGACATAGTAGTTCGTATAGGAGAGTGTTTTCATAAATTCTCTTGGACACTGTCCTTACTCTGGTACGAGTGTCTTCTTTTCCGCTATATTCGAGAGAGTGAGACAAGGTAGTCAATCATAGGCACCGACGGCAGAAATAACTTATCAAACCGACCCAATGTAACGTGGCCTTAAATGTTGTCTACATTGCCGCAGAGGTGTGGGACTGTGCTACTAGGTTGACATCTCCATTGAGATCGCCACCACTGTTAAGATAACCCTTTGGTTATCTCGAGCAGAAGTACCGATAGAGTAACCAGAGGGCCGTTTCAACAGCGGCGGCAATCTCGAAGGAGACACCAAGCTTAGTAGCACGGTCCCACATCATTGCTGAGGATTGGTTCAATAAATTTCTTCTGTCTGTGCTAATGATCGACTCTTTGTTTGATTGTCGAATATAGCGGACACACAAACCAGAGTAAGGACGGAGTCCAAGAGTATTTGTTAGAATACTCTCCTGTACAAACTACTATGTTCCCATCCAAAATGCCCTCCCCCCCCCCTTGCCTGCAATGTAAGAGGAGGTCCTTACCTGAGATGCAGGGTTCCGGAGAGCCAAGATTGGGGAAGCATCTGAGAAGTCAACGACATATCCTTCTATTTCGCGGTCACCGGACGAGTCACCTTCGTGAAAGTGGGAAAAGAGGAGGCAAAACCTCCTTGCCTGTCAGCAGTGATTTGCATCTGAGCGGGGGAAAGGAAAGAGGAACCACCGGGAGAGAGTGAGGGGAGGGCCCTCCAAGACAGGGGACCCTCTGTTTCACGAACGAGTTGGGAGGTCATGGTGAAGAAGGTCGAGCATTTCGACATGCGGCTATTATCAGAGCCATCGGGGAAGAGAGATCACAGGAATACCCACAGCTTTTACTCCATATCATTTTTGTTCATGTACATTTTTTATGATACTAATGCAAGCCCTTTGGTAAGCTCAGAAACAAATCTAATATTTTATGTGTTAAAATGCACTCAATAGCTTTTGTTTATAGATGGCTAATTTTGTGTTCAACTAAAAATTGTGTAAAAAAATGGGTAAAAATGCACAATTAATTTTTTTACTAGCACAAACATTTATGAGGCATTCATATAGCAAAGCAAATTGCAGTGCACAAAAGCAAGCAAAAGCATTGCAGTACAGTGTGTATGAGCATCTTTTGTTTTGCTGTAATCCTCGTGATTGCACGTCCTTGGACGACGCGTGTCCATAATTGTCTGAATATAGCTGTCACAGATAGAAAATAATAGCACAAACATATTTTGTACGAAACCATCTTCCAGTTATTCAAGCACATTACGGCATCATTTCGTCAGATAACATACAGCATATTTTGTTAATGGGATGGCGTAATGGTGGAGACAACAATTTTAGTCTAACTTGCGTATTACTGTGTTTTGTATTCGGTGTTCTAGCTGCTGTCCAAAAAAAAACGAAGGCGGCTGACACGGAGGTAGAGGCGGCCATCCGGGTCTACCTCTACGGTGTGAAGGACCGGGAGGGCGGGCGGCGTTCCCGCTTTTTGGACGCTGTAGATGCTGCAGCTTTGAGGAGGATTGCAGCATTGAGCGAGGCTCCAGCTTCGAACAACGCTGTAGCCTCGGGCGAAGCTGCAGCCTCGTTCGATGTTGTGGACCTCTTCGAGGTTGCCGCATCCGGTGGCTGGAGCGACGAAGATTTCCAAGAATAAAACCCGTGACCGCAGTCTTTTGTTTTTGCCCTTTTTTAGCACCACTGGTGGAGGTGTTTTTATTTCAATGGGCTTTAACTAGTGGTGATGTATCGTTTAATGCAGGAATAAAAGCTATACTCCTTCTAACTTTACAATGATCTCCAGTGGATGCTGTGAGCTATCCCAGGCAGACCAGCATGGTGAAGTTATTGCATGATTATGCCCCCCTCCCCCCCACACCCATGTCAATGCAGTCCATCAACTTCACGTTATTGTAAGGTGAAACAGTCTATATGTAATAACAATCCAATTGATGCAGCCAAAATTGTTAAATTAGCATAAATTGGTAGTTTTAAGTAATTTTCAGAGATGCCTACTTTACCAACTTTGGCTTGGGTCTAGTATTCCAAAAATCATATTTTGGTATGGTGTGTGGGTGCTATTTCAGGTTTATGTGGCAGAAGTCTGGCATTTTGAGCAATCTTGCCTTGGCTCATCCATGTCACTTTTTTATGCACTCCAGTGGCTAAACAGAGAAAAACAAAACTTTGGCATGCCTCTGGGCTTTCTGTGGCATTTTTGGCACATGTTAGACAATCCAGTGGGGAGCCAGAGAAAAGCTAACTCTTATGCTCCTGAACCCCCAAATTAGGATTGACTGGCAGCTTTGGCTCAGGTATGGCTCTTTTGGCACTCCTGGGGCAAACCGTAGAAATACCAAACTTTGGCATGCCTCTGGGCTTGCTTTGGCACTTGATGGCGGACCAGAGAGAAGCCTACTTTTTGTCCCCGAATTCCCAAATTGGGATTTACTATGGCTCAAGTATGGCACCAACTTTGGTGTTCTTCTGCCGGACCAGCAATGCTAAACTTTGATATGCCCCGAATTCCCAAATTAAAATTTACTATGGCAATTGTGGATAAAGTATGGCACCAACTTTTGCGCTCCTCTGCCGGACCAGAGCAATGCCAAACTTTTGTATGCCCCGAATTCCCAAATTAGAATTTACTATGGCAGTTATGGCTGAAGTATGGCACCAACTTTTGCGCTCCTTTGGCGAACCAGAGCAACACCGAACTTTGGCATGTCCGAAATACCCAAATTGGGCGTTGCTCTGGCAGTTCTGGCCTAAGTATAGCACTACTTCGGCACTCCTGTGGCGAGCCAGAGAAACGCGAAACTTTGGCGTGTCTGAAATACCCAAATTAGGAGTTGCTCTGGCAGCTATGGCTCAAGTATTGGGGAGGAGATCGAATGGTGGCGCTGGCTAGCGGCCGCCGTCGCAACTATTTTGCGGGAATAACATTCCCGCCGCTAGTATTCGTTCAGCCATGGAGGACGAAGACTTGAGGCTCGTGAAAGGTATGTGGATAATAGTTATCTGCTCGAAAAGCATCTGCGGGGGGGGGGGGGGGGTAGCATAGTCCCTGCTTGTCTCGCCTTGCTTTAAATGTCGCCGCTATCTGGTTCGAAGCACAAACCAACCCACGTCTAGCCGCTCGCGATTGGCCGCGTCGTTCCGGCTGCGCGTGCCAGGTCGTGCGTGATTGACGCGGTGTGGCGATGTTTGTGCGCTTCCTGGGTTGGAGAAACCGTACTCACGGAACTCGCGCATTGCTTTTCAGTGTCCTTGTCACTTGCAACAACAATCAGCCATATCGGCGAGAGCAAGAGATGCCTCGTTGAAGGCGAAGACGTATCGAAGTCCGATCATGTGATAGAGTGCAGCGTCGCCCCGGAGCCGACGGCTGACAGCGTCCGCATCGTCGGATACGTCCTCCAGTCCTGCGCTCTGCACAGTGATCCGCATACGGTGCATCTCACTCTGAACAAAGGGGAGATTGTCTCTCTGTGCTGCACGTGCCCTGCAGGGCAAAAATGCACGTTTCCACTGCTTTTTTTTTTTTTAACGGGAGGGGTTAGGCGATAAACCACGCTTTATTAGACGACATCAGTTCCTTCATCGTTCTCTTAATCTGCAAGGTAGTTTTGTTATGAAATGTTGCACTGCCTAGGCATTCCGTAGTTAAGAACTGATTTAAGTGAGGAAATCTACGAGGTGTTGTAGAAGTGGTGTAGAATGCAAGAGATATAACAGATGTGTGTTTGTGCTGCCCCTAGAAAGTCAAGCGAATGCAAGCACTGCACTGCTGTCCTGCTGAAAACCAACAGGATGCAAGAGCTTCCAGTTGTCAAGCACAGACTTGCCGCAGGCTTGGGGCCAGCATGCGAAGGATGTCGTCAAGACCAAGTATGCAGTGAGGTCTCTCATGGAGATCCCCTTCTGCCCAAAGGTGAGTGCTGTGCACAGCGAATATGTGCATATTTTTTTTGAAGTCCCGCTATCTTGAAATGCCAGTGCAGATTTATAACATCTGTACTCAGCATGTAGGTAGATATAATGCTTGTTTAAAAATAATGGTAGCCTTCAATAGTGTATGCATGCTTTTATAACAAGTGCATTGCTGGTCGGATTGACAGCGCATGATCGCCGTGCAGAGTTCAGTTACGTTTAGCTCGGGGCCAGAATGCGCCCAGCCAGCTGGCGACAGCCTGGGCTGGCACTTGGAAGGTACGCCTGAAACTAGAACTTGGCTGCCATGTTAAGGAATATGCAAACAGCTGGAGCTAGCTGCTGAAGTTCCTGGAAAATGCTCGAGTAGCTGGAGACAAGTCGCTCACAACAAAAGGGACCTCCAACCATACTAAAGGCAGAAAAATGGCCCTGCAGATCGCTTCCCGATACTCCATTGTCTACCTTTATTGCAAGCCTGTCTCGGACAACATCAGGGCTAGACAAAGGCAACAATGCCAGTCCGACTCCGAATAATGAACCAGGCAGCTACCCTGACCGTTATTCCAGCCAGGGTGGTTGTGTCCAAGCCGCATTTAAGTTGAGGGTAGAATGTGGGGTGCGGTTGCTCAGAGACGCCTCTAGGTACCCTAACCAAACAAAGACCCCTTTGGACACCATTGACTTGTCTCCAGAAATACTGGTGAGCAACTTCCGTTGTCTTGGAAGCCGGTGCCCAGTTCTGGTATGGGCCTCTCTCCAAGAGCCTTGTCCTGGCTGCTGGTCTCTCAGTGTTCCATACAGACAAATCACAGATAGCCAGGCGCATTAGGGTATTAGTGGATAGTCTGTTTTAAATATTTTCGTGCCAATTATGTTTAGACTGGTTTAAATTTTTGTGCTGAGCTTCAACTGCGGTGAACGTAGCGAAACATAGCAAAAAAGTTTCTTGAAATGTGCATTGCTTGGAAACAAATTGTTCGGCGTAATGAAATTTACTAAACCAAGCAAACAGGATCCCTTCCTGATGAAAGATGCCAGCTTGGCGTGGCCAATTGGTGGTAGAAAAGTGGCTGGCCAATTGGCTACATGTTTACCCTTAAACTGTGGCCGCAAGCGGCTGTCGTCTGCTAGCCACTGCGCCCTGCGCCTCTACAGTGTATTCCGCTGCTGAGTGGCAGTCATCGCGACAAAGCGTTGCCATTGTTTTTTTTGTTTTTAAAAGAGATTTCCTACATCTCTGATCAATCACAATCTTTGATGCCATCAGCTATATGAGTTTAACATTAACCTAGATAAGGGGTGTTTGTGGCTCGTGGAAATTAAAACATGATGCTCTATCTAAGATTTGGTGAATTACTAATTGTTCTCTGGATCTCAAGAGTCACGAAGGTGAACAACACATTTAATTAAATGTACCTGCAAACTATTACAGTTCAAGCGACCTGCCTTGCCAGCCGTCGAGCGTTGTGTCGTGGACAGACTTATGGAAGGCCTTCCGCATATCTGTCCTGTCGCTATTCACAAAAGGAAGAGAACACGAAAAGGTAAATCTCGTTTTTTTTTGCAAAGACTTTTCTCCCAATCTCTTGTTTAAACATACCTAAACTCATTACAAGATGCAGTCATGCCTTTTTCTATGGCGAAACTAGTAAAGTGCAATGCCGTAACATGTGAAGGTTATCCCGGTTGTGATCTTGTGACTCTAGGCACTGTTCCACAATGGGGCTAAGGTAGGCCAGAGTCGTATATGTAGAGAGTTTGGTCAATGGGAGGCGCAGGCAGAGCCAGGGCGTGCGGCAGACTCGGAAAGAGGGCTTGCCATGCTCTCTTCACCAACCAGAAGCCGAATAGAATCCCCTAGCGGTGATAGCGAGAAACAGTTCTGATCGAAAGTCTGTGTTCGTATATGGTTTTAATAAGTGCGTAAGAGTGAAGTGTAGTAACTCTTGGTGGTTGAAAATAGGCTCACGCGTTGTTTTGATCATGATTATCGAGAACGATGTAAGAAACGAATGCGCCGCTCAACTCTGTTTTGCGCGGACAGTGTGTGACCGCTCAAACGGCAGATTCCCGCCCCTTGGCGTTTGACGTACGGATTCTGTCGATCGTTCCGCTACTTGCACTCTTCCACTATCATTTTTGATGAGCGTGATTGGTACATCACGTGTACCATATTTTCGGCCATCCAGAGTTACTCCAATGCAGTTATCAGGTTTGTTCCCGCGACCACCGCCAGGGTATTATTTCCGGCTTTTGGTTGGTCACATTCGAATTTCTGAAGACGCCCTGGAACACGCCCAGCCCGCTTTCGGCCATTGGCGCCTCCTCATTTGTCTCCTATACTTCCCAACGAATGGCCAAACTCTCTACATATACGGCTCTGAGGTAGGCTAATGCCCACCAGTATACTATTATAACTCCTGTGCCATAAGTTACGTCCCCTATTTCAGAGACAGGTGGAGCCAGCACTTCAGCAGCTGTGCCTTGACCCCGAAGCCTGCTTGAAGCGCTTCAGGACCTGCCTGAGGAGGAGACCGAAAACCTGCTGGAGCAACTCAAGCGCATAATGACACGAGAGGCTATTGCGGAAGTTGAGCGCATGACAAGGGCACAGGCCTCATCATCTGATTGGATGCTGTACAGGAGGGGTATGGCCACTGCATCCATATGCCATGGGTTCTTTACCCGCGCTGTCACTAAAGGCTCAACCACGGCCGCACAACTTGAGAGGCCTCCTTGACAAAGTGTTGCAAGTCA